AGAATTACCCAGTTTAAGGAATGAATCCTATTCATCATGGGGGAAATACTTTATAGCTAGAGAATTAAATCAGTATGCAGTCCCTTTTCCCACAGACATAACCAGGTGAGAAAGACAATGTGCCTCTGTGAATAATTTCTTTTACAACTCTAGCACAAATTACAGACCCAGAACGACTTTCCCACAGTTACTGTGACTGCTTATGGAGTGTATAGGCATCAGCTATACTGATGCTCGAATGTCATTTTGCTGTGGCTGTGCAGAACAGTCACAACAGACTCAGTAACTGCAATTTAAATATTTTAGTCTAAATACAACTGATTAGTAGCTTTGCAGTTTCTGAAGGCCTATGAGACTACTCAAGAGTTGCTGCTAAATGCTACTTTGAAAAGTACGTAGCTGGATGCTGATTTCTTTGGTATGATTACTGAAGTCAGCAGAATATCAGAGTGCAATACAAACAATAATACATTTAACTACAATCATGAATTATACCTGTCTATAATCAAATGGAGTCTTCATAATGATCACTGAGACCCAGATTCAGTAAAATATGAACTATTTGTTTCCTGAATGTAAAAGACCTTAAGAATAGTTTTAAATTACTTGTGAATTGGACCCGAGAGAGCACCATCAAGGAGGAAAACAAAGCTTGCAACATTCTTTATCAAGTAGGCCATTGCATTCTTTCCTTTTACATATTTAGTTTCACATTTGCTTTTACTTACTACACAGGTTTTTTTCACAGGTGTCCCCTTTTGCACAATTATTGTATGATTTTCTTTCTATATAAAGTCTTGGAAAATTACCACTACAAAGGAAAAAGAAAAGTTTCATACATCATTTTAAGTGATTTGTTAAATATCTTACATAATTTGTTGAAGTAAATACTCTGAAAATACAATAAATTGCTGACAATTCATTAAAAACTTCAGAATAATTCTCCTTCTTTTCATTTTCATTGTTTTGTCCCTGTGAAAGAAAAGAATCTTAAAAAGCTATTATTTTTCTTATGGGAAAATACTCAGGCTTTTTATTCAAATTTTACATTGGTATATAAAGTACTAAAACAGAATGTTCTGGATGGAGCTTGGTTTTAACTGAGATAAAACGAGGACTTTAGAGTGGAAGATTTTAAAGCTGACACACTCTCAAATAGCTTAAACCCAACTATTTAGCAAAAAAAGAAGTCTTGTGAGCTTCATTCCACAAAACGCACATGTCCAAGAGTAAATACACAGTCTTAGTGAAGACACTGGGATCCTTACACGCTTAAGTATCTCGTCCAAGCAGAGCTGAAGTATTTAAGTATAAAGATCAGCCTGCAGTACCCACCACTGCACATTCTCAGAAAGTCTCCTTACACATGTAACTGCTGAAAATGATAATGCAGATACCATCATCCTGGCTGGCTATACTATACTACCAGGTAATGGGAAACAGTATCCAGTCTATGATGCACCTATTCAAAAAGATGAAGCAATGCTATGTTTCATAGCCTAATCCTGGGAACAGAGGGGCAGATTTAGTGCCCTCAAAGGACTGTGGGCTATTACAGTTACGCCGGTTTGTCACTCTACTCACCTCCATAGTGGGCACTCCTCAAAGGAGATAATTTGCACCAAGATCTGTGAAAATTTTTTCAGGATTCTAAGTCTGTATTTACACCTTATATCATCTATATTTATAAACAAGAGCTACCCACCAGACATACAGATGTAAGTGCTGGTATAATGCTGTTGTACAAGATGGAGGGAGAAGAACACCCCAAAAGATTACCTGTGACTTACTTGCTACTACTCTTCTTTGAAATGTCTTTTATATACATTGCCCACAGGTACACTGTTGGCTGGAGTTTTATCCCAGCAGCAAATACAGTGGGATATTGCAACCACATGGCCTGACACACCGTCCAGGCAGTAATAAAATCAAATGGGGATCTTCTGATACCAAGAATCAAAAATAGGTTTTGAACTTGTTAGAGAAGAGCGGAAAGAGAATTGTTAATATATATGTATATGTAAGTATCTCAAAAACAAAGTTATACGTTAAGTAACATATCTTTTGGGTGATCGTCCATATATACATTCACAGCACGAGTAATTCCAAACAGTAGCCCACACGGTTATCTTAAAAAGGGTCTCAGAATCCAGAACAAGAAAGACTGAAAGACAAAGCATTGCTTCTGGAAGTTCTGGCAAGAGCACAATGCCTCATAAGGGTGTGAAAGCAGACCCACTTGGTGACTGTGCACACTTCAATTGCAGGAATGCAATACAAAGAAGCTACAGATGTTGCCTGAGCTGCAATTCAGCAAGTCTCCCTCGGTATCAAAGGCTTCCACTGTAAGTGATAATTACACTATTACTTCACACAGTTCATAATCCACTGTGAAATCCTCTTTGAGAAGACCGATAGAACTCTCAGCCACAGATCGAGAGAGATGAAAGGCCTTGCCTTTTTGTCCAGGAAGCCCTATCTTGTCATTACAAATCAGTAAATCTATTTATCTACAGATTGCTTAACACCTAGGTTGTAGAGTGCTGCCTCATTGAGGTGTAAGGAATGGGAAAAAAAAGGCACAAATTAACTTCTGGAGAGAGGAAAAAAAGTCACTCCCACAAGGAACTTCAGGTGGCTTCCAGAAACTATGCTACTTAAATGAAATAAAATATATGGGAGACTATCATATGGGCTTTAATTTCACTTGTCTTGCTGGTTTAGGCCACAGAAACTAAAAGGCTATTTCCATAAAAAGTGACATTATTGTGGTTTATGTTTTACTCTTTAAGAGTAACCATTTAATTAATCATAACTACTGTTTCATTTGCTTCTGACAGCTAGTGAGTATTGAGCTGACATTTTCCACAGTTTTATAGGTGACTGCCTTTTCCCCCATGCGTATCACTTCATATTTACTTACAGTGATTTTCATTTACCATTTTATTGAGTAGCCACTGAGGTCCTCTAACATTGTACCTCCCACAGCTTCTTCAGAGGAAACTGAGTCCTAAAAATGGCCGATACAACCACCTGTCGGGGACTGGATGTCACCTGTCTTTCTAAAAAGGTGGCAGAGACATGGAAGGTCATGTGCATGGAAAGGTACAATAACAAAAAGGTAATGAAATGTTATTTGTATTCCCAGAAGCATAGAAGTATCATGGATTATAATTTTTTCTTGTAACAGAAGAACTGAGAGTGATCGAGTGAAGTTGGGACAAGGAGGTAGTTTCTGCACATCTGTTGAAAGCCGTGGCACATCTCTTGTTCTGAGGATGCCATGATCTGCCAAACAGGAAAACAGGGATATCCTGTCCCTGCCAATATCCAGGACCTCAGTGAATCCTCTTTTGATGTGAAAATGACAGCATTTGGATTGACAGCACTTAAAACTCACAAAATACAGGTATTACCTGTAAGACAGGCAGTCCTGATAGGACTATGAAAGAAGGTATCTTGCTGTTTAAAGGCATCTTACTCTTTTTAACAGTGTTGGGATAACCTCAACCACTACAAATCATAGAATCATAGAATCATTCGGGCTGGAAGGACCTTTAGAGGTCATCTAGTCCACCCCCCCCGCTGCGGTGAGCAGGGAATTCTCCAACTAGATAAGGCTGAATAAAGTAATTTTGGCAAGGCAGTCATGAAGGTCCAGCTGGAAAAGGCTGTTCCAGTATCTGGGGTGTGGTGATGACTGGTGGCAAGGTTAAGATTTACCTATTTTGCCAGACAGTTCAGGAAGGGAAAAGGCGGTTAGAAGATGGTCTGTCTGCTCTAACTCCACTTGTTTCTGTGATCACTTAGAGATCAGTGTTCCTGGTATCAAGCCATGGACAGAAGAATCATGGCATGTTAGACCTCATTTTAGACAGCTATCCAGCTTAGCTATCAGCTCTCCAGGATGTGCAGAACAGTACAGCAAACCAACCTGGTATGTTGTTACAGATTAGAAAAGTCTCAAGTGACAAGGCTTTACAGACCACTGTTGATGTCAATTAGTTATTATTCTGCACTGTCAACTGGAAACATTTTAGTTCAGATTTTAAAAAGAAAACAACAACAAAGTTCCATAGCCCAGCAAGTTTCAAAACAACAAATCAAGTACAAGTCCAGTTTTGTGGTACAGGAAGAGAGATGGGCAGGGCTAAATGAAATTTTTAGTTTAGGCTAATTGAACTCCCTGATAGCGGCCCAGGTTTGCTAGAAGAAAAAGAAAAAACAGTTGCCATGCAAGCTCTCAAGCTATGTATGTTTTAAAAATGACAAACAGATTGCATATGCATGTGCTTGAGTATGGACTGTGCATTATTATAAGACAAAATGTATTATTTTAAAACTATCTGCCTCTGTGTTTTCAAACTCCTGCTTTAGGAACAGCACCAGCTGGGGCCTATATTTTTTCTGAATATCAATTTAAATGTAAAATCACCTGTTGCAGTTAGCTTTTTCTTGCACTGATCATTTACTGTTTTCTAATGCTTAAATAACATTTGATATAATCACAGCTATTAAATAATGGCATTTTATTTTACTCAGTTACACATAAAGGAAAAGCAACTGATCTAACAACTGTGCTATTATTTCTATAATTTCTCAGAAAAAAAAAAACAGTGTAAAAATCTGAAGTGCAACTAAAAACATACAAAAATGCAAGAGGTAATTCCAGCTCTGACAGCAGTTGCCTGCAGCAACTTTCTCATTTCGTCTGTTTCATATGAAAAAGAAATCAATGAAGTGGAACATGAGCTAACTTTGGGATTTGTTTGCTTAAGATTGCCACAGAATGAGATATACCAGTAAAGTTAAACTAAGCAAGTACACGTTCTAATGCTCATGTCTCTCTTGATAACTGAATTAGACAACCATTGTTTTCTCTGATACTGCATTTACAAGACTACCAATAAATAAAGAACCCAATTTACTTTCAGCTAAATATCATTACAATTGCTTTCTTTTTTTTTTTTTTTTTTTTAACGTTTAAACCAGTAACTTACCCTGCTGAATAGTTGCAAACAAAATTTGCTGCATTTTGTATTCCTGCAACTTCCTTACATAGGTTAACAGCACAGCGTATTTTATATGAATAGTCCCAAACAACCTAACCCCAAAAGTTTTAAAACAAATTAAAAACTACACTCAACAGTAACCTAGTCTAATAGCTAGAAAGCTTCTGTTATTTTCAAAGATCCCGCATATTATTTTCACTTTGCAACATCTGATCTTCTTATATATTTAAAAATATTACTGGTAAGCAAGCTTTTTAAGATTAACTTCTAAGTATTCACCCCTCAATATGAAGTGACCTATGCTGCAAGTTTCCAGAATCTTCTACAGAATAATTTCAGTAAGAGTCACTGACTTCATGATCTAGGTAGCTTCTATGGAAATTAGTGACAACTACCCCACAGCTCCTTTAATTAATTTCAAGACTCATAACTCTCGTCTGCAAGAAGGGCTTCTCCTGTGTGCTAGAAATGGTCTGGCTGATTACTACTGTAAGCTCAAGTCTGAGAGCTTTAGCACTGCACATTTTCAGACTAATGAGTGTTATCTGGCATACTTAAGAGAAGATGGTTTACTATCACTTACAGTTTGGGCATCTGCTTTTTCTTGGGAGATTCTTCCTATACCTTCTTCATATTACTAACCAAACCGTTCTAAATTCAGGTAAAAATGTTGAACTATACACCTAGAAGATCTGGATGATCATACATTCCACTTCTGGAAAACCTCAAGATACAGCAGATTACTCTCAGTACCTCCCCAGTATGAACAGTACAGGCCTCAGACTGACAAACGGATTTCAACATCCCCAGAAGTTCCGTCTCTTCAACCATATGTTCAACAGACATAACCTTTCTTCAAAAAGGATCTTAATGTTTAATGTGGTGTTACCTGAATCCTGGATTAAGGACTAAGCATTTCAGGGGCCTTTATGTAACAGTTTCACATATTTTTTGAGATTTCCACCATTTTGAGATTTCTGTGTCGTGGTTCTCTTGGCAGGTCCACACAGCCCATCCATTTATGATTTGTAAATTTTATCCATTTTCAATTTTGTGTCTAAGCCTTCAAGACTATGATGGCTCCTGGATCATGCACGGTCTTTGATTATCAATTCTGATGACATATGTATTTTTATGTGTTCATTGGTGTCTAACCCATGTACTCTGCCTGTTTTTTCCAGTGTTTAATTTCCTTTGTAATTCTGCCTGAAATGCATGAACATTTTGATATGACTTAACTATGTGTAACAAGAAAGCAGCAAGCAATATTAATCACGGGAAAGAAAGCTTAGAAGTGAACATTGGTCCAACAAATGTGTAAAAACCTCCAGAATTCTATGTAGACAAGGTTGAACAGCAATTTAAAATTCTAGGAACTGCCTTGATAGGTAACTTTTTAAAATTTATTGTGCCAGAGAAAAAATGAAAAATAATTTCCTAAGATATTGTCTAGTTCTAGTCTTCTAAAGATTTACTGCCCAATAAACAGCAAAACTTAAATCCTCCAGCCTTGCTTTTGAGTTTGTTACGGGCAGAACCAGGGGCAGGGAACAAGAATTAAGACTTGAGGGGAAATAACTGAGAAAAGACATAAAAAGAGGTGCAGAAAGACTCAAACAGAAAATGCTCTTTAAATGATTCTGGTAACTTTAAGTATTTTCATTTCACAATCCAAAGTCTACTCAAAAAGAACCTCACTGCTACCGCTGTGTCCAGTAACAGTTTCACTGTAAGTATACTGCACAGTATTTTCACCTGTAATTTGCTCAGAGAGCAGTCAAAGCATCTTTGAATACTGAGATAATAAATTAAAGAGTCCTTTTTACTGATAAGATCTACTTGACATTAAAATTATCACATTTTAAATCACTGAAACGTTGTATTTGCTCATAGATTAAACTAATGTTACTGCAAAGCTTATTTTTTAAACATGGGAATGAATAAATCAACTTAAAATATTAAATGTTCAAAGAAAAGCTTTACTTTCTCAGCAGAATTAAGTTTGTCAGAATTACCACTGAGAAATCAGAAATATATCATAAATTGCCTCTTTTGTTGTTGATGCTCTTTTCCCCCCCCTTCCTTTTGTTTCAAGATTTGTAAAGAATACAATTTACTTCGGCTGGATTTTCTCCTTCCGTTAACATTTCCACTAAGGAGTACCCACATTCTGCAATTACTGTGATTATTTTGAACAGCACCTCCAAACTCACAGAATTCAGAACTGTGTGGCTTTGCAGCTAGAGAACTTGAAATTATTATTTTAGAAAGTTTATGTAATACTGATACAATGAAACAAGGAGTGAGGCTTTCAGCGAGGCCAATACTGTGGACAAGAGGAATGGATTATTATACAAGACAAAGAGGTGAAACAGTTCAGGGCTAACCTGCAGGACAGCCATTGCTTGAAATTACAGAAGACAGTAAGCTGTCAGTCACTACAAACCATATGTGCAACTCTGTATTATTTACAGTCCCTACTGATGCATCTGGTAGGCACTATACAGGACATTTTACCAGTTAACTCTTACCTGAATGCAATGACGGCAAACCTTAGCACATTTCTGCACTGCAAAAGTATAGAATCTGACCTCATCATACCACCATTTAATGGCATCAGCAACATAGAATGCTTGATGACTTCCAACCCAAATATTCTCTCCAACATGTGAAATTAGGATGGCACTGCTGTTTCTTACTTAAGGACATGCTATGTTCAAAAATGCATTTATTTGCCCATGCCCTTGCAATCTTTGCCAAAGCTGCATCCCAAGTCTGCAAAATACGAAAGGTGAAATAGTTGTGCAATGTTAAGTCACAACCGGATTTGAAACAATCAGATTAAACCAGTCAGGCAATAAAGTACAGATAAATATCATATGCTGGAGTTCATAAAGAAATACTTTCCCTTATTTAGGCAAGTACCAGTGTTTTATTTTCACTGACTTTTCCTGTTGCAGCACAGAAATATGAACTGATCTCATTAGACGAGTTTCTCCCCCCTTCAGTGTTGAAAATTAACTTTGTAAGAACACTTGCTAGCAACTGAAAAGATGTTTGAAATGCACTTTTATCTTCAGATAAGAAATTACTGTGACATTAATTAAACATGAAACACTTTTTGTGGTTGTTGTTGAACAGGTCATTAAGAATTTCTATTTGGTACACAGAAATTAATTCAAAGTAAAAATGCACAGCTACTGTAGATTCAGATGTATAAATATTTTAGGTATTTTTAAGAGAGCCTCTGGAAACAAATACTTACTTCTCCTACAGTAAAGCTTTAAATACACATTGGAGCGTTTTAGAAAGACAGCTTCATGAGGTAAACATGCCAATGTTTGGCCAGTAACTCATTCTGCTACCTCTTACTTCTTTGCAGTCTGCTGCCATTAACAAAACTTCTGATTCCAGAACATGAGCTATCTTTGGTATTTGTCCTCCAGTCATGATTGTTTTTCAGCAAGTTTCTTCTACCATTAAAGTACCTAGCTTCATGTCTTTTGTAAAAGATCCTGTGCTTTATCGCCGAGGTTTATTGCTGTTTGTACATTTCAGTTCACTCTCAGTCTCTATGTGGATTTTACAATAACTCCACTCACTGCGAATACTGTTTTCTCCCTAAAACCTTTCATTTTTTTTCTAACTGTATTTCTACATGCATATCTTCATTCATAATTTTTCCTGGTTTTCCTGTTCCTGAGTACTAAAACTGGGTGCAGTGTCTTTCACAAACTTCCTCACTTCCAAGGTTATACTCCCTTTTCTGCCATTCTGGCTTCAAACCCACCCAAGCAAATGGCAGTCTTTGCCATCCGTATCTGGGTATGTGTATGTTCCCAAGCCTTCCTCAGGCTACTCATCCTTTAGCTGCTCATTGCTCACAACATTTTCCTCTCGTGGTAGGAAGTGAACCAAACATCAAACATCCACTTTTCCTGCATCTTCTTCATTTAACCCTTTCCAGCAAAAATCTTCGAGTGCAATTTGTTTTGGTTACGACAAGCAAAGATTCTTCCTTGCCCCCAGAAAGCCCCTTCAGCCTCAGTATTGCAGTTCATGTCCTTACTTTTGATGGACAGCCTAACTCTTCTGGATCAGTCCTGCTGCTGGACCATTGCTTCCTCCTTAGGGAGAAATTCGTTGGGGTGAAATGTAAACATCTCCAGCTGGCCTGTGTCGCTGCATCCTCACCCTGCATGCCTCTTATTTCTATACTTACCTGTCTGCAACTGACTCAACTCATGTCAGTATTTCCTAGCAAATAAACATGATGATATCTGAACACAAACCAGTGATGCCATCCTAGTTGCCTCACCCAGGGACTACCAAGAGACCCCTGACCCACTGTCCCATCTGCCCCAGCGGGACTCTGGAGCCACCTATGCGCTCCTAGGCCTGCCCCCTCCGTGTACCACACGTTGCTAGCAGCTGGCCGGGCTTTGGTGGGGAGGTCGTTGTGGACGCGCACATAGTCCTCCATGAAGGTCTTATCCATGATGCTCGGTAAGGCAGGCGACTGTGATACCAAAGGGTTAAAGAATTCAGCTAAATTAACAGAAAAGCAGGCACATTGTTTAGCCTGGCATCTCAAGGTTGGGAAGCATCAAGAAAAAGAACAAACGATAGAAGAAGGGACACTGTTCTCTAAGTCAGTAGGCAAGAATGTGGAGAGAGGCCTCCGAGAGAGGCAGTCCTAGACATGAAGGGAGCCAAGCTGATAACACGTCACAACCCACAGACATCAACAACAAAGTAGCTGAAAGCAGGACAGAGGTAATTGTGGTAGTGGGAGATTGCGACCTCCAACTCAAACGGCCCCCCTGAAAGAGGGCAAAACCCCGCTTGGGGAGCATGCGTAGTTAATAGAGAGGCTTCGTTAGTGCTTACTGAGGATGCGTACTAATTTACATTAGAAGCGAGAAACTTATAACCAATCTTAAGTGTGAATAACAATGAATATGTAGTGAATTATGAATATGTAAATGTTTCATGGTATATAATATGTATCTTTATTTTACTCGGTGTGCAAGTTTGGAGGAACGATCCCCCTCGCACCCGGCGCCGTAGTAAACATGCCTGCTTTAGAACTCTCCGTGAGCTGTAGAGTTTGTTTCCGCATGTCAACTGCCCATCTGCAGCCCTCAGCACCGGCCACAAGGCCGGCACCGCCGCCCACGCCCTCATGGTCCCCCCCGCCAGGGACTCGCGTGAGTGACCCCCGCTCCC